TAGTTAGCACATACCTTAAACACTTAAAGCTGTAAGCTAATGATAGTTATATAAGAGCAGATGCTGCTGGTGCAATAAGCTGTACGTTTTACGTCCAATGGATGATGATCTGATTAGTCGACTATCAAAATAATCGTTTGTGGCAGCTCTAGTTGTTACTGTGAACACAGCACAGGCTCCACCTTCCCCATTTCTGTGGTGCAGTAGTGTCAGTGTGACTGAAAAGAACAAATATGACGTTTTGTTCTAATAAAAACATTTGTTTTCTAAAACTACAGAGAGGAGAGCAGCGAGTCCCTCAGAGCCCCTCGTGCTGCTCTCAGAAACCTGGCCTGCTTTACTTACACATTTCCCAATGAGTTTGCTGACAGGCTTCATGATGAAGGAGGACAGGAAGCCGCTCACGTACATCACCAGTGGGATGGTAGCTATGAACTTCTGTTGGAGGAAAAAACAAGCAGAAGAAGAAGATGAGCGCGTGACGACAACCCAACGTGTTACGGGTGAACTGGAAGATTTCCCGTCACCTTTGGCAGCCCCAGAGTGTTGATGAGATACATGGAGATGTACGTCTGAGACAGGTTGACGATCAGCCTGGTGGACATGTAGAGTACGGCCACCTGCAGAGACACAGCGAGCAGGTCTGCTGATGCATCTACGATATCAAAATCCTGACGCCCGGAGAGGTTCGGGTGGAGGCGTCAGTGCTTAAGTCATTCAAAGCTCCATACCTGGTAGAAAGAAGGCTGTCGCAGCCAGCATTTCCACTGCAGGAGAGACGAGAAGGTGTTGGAGCGCGGCAGCAGTGGCCTCCGCTCGCCCTCTGCCTCCGACTCCTCGCTTGCTCCATTGTTCTCTTTTGTTCCCACGTGGAAAACGACGGAGAAGACGACGCCGATCCCCAAAACAATTAGTGACAGATTCTGTAATTACACACAGCGTGGCACACCTCATCATCGCTGCTACAAACACGCTCCTGCTGCCCTGAGATAACCAGAGGACACAGTGGGCGGAGTTATCAAACCCTGGGATCACATTTTAGAGACGGTTTATATTGACTGTTCATTTCTGTCCCAACTGTCAGCCCGGCAGCTTCTGCTGTGGCCGGCGAGCTTCGTCTCCCCTCTTTAAAAAGCTACACAGTAAATATCATCCAGACGCAGCCGAGGCCGCCATCTTTATATGCTGAGTGCAAAAGTATCATTGATG